TGCATTATTCTTTAATTTCATCCAGTGTAACTGGTAATTCTTGTACTATGTTTTAATTTTCATCTCAATTTTGAATCCTTCTATGACCAGGTTTTCCAATGGTTATGTATTTTTAGCTGTTAACCTAGATAATTCATCCACATATCTTAATTTTATAGACTGTTGGTAATCCATCATAAAATTATAATTTAACAGGATGCTCCCCCAGTGCTGTAATCTGTTAGCTGTATGGGGAGGTATACCTTTCTTTGTACCATATATTGCTAATAATGGTTTATGGTCTATTTGCAATGTGAAATTTCTTCCATGAATAAATCTATGGAGTTTTTTCATAGCAAATATGATTGCTTATGCTCCTTTCTCTATCTGGCTGTAATTCCTCTCTGCCAGTAGACATGACTGTGAAGTATGTGTGAAAGATTTCATTTTACCACTATTGTATTTGTATAAAATCACTGTTCCGATACCATAATCACTAGCATCTGATACTAATGCAATTTTTGCTTTTGGATTGTAGTGACATAATGATAAATCAGACGTAAATTATTTTTTTTTTTATTTTGTCAAATGCTTTTTGACATTTATGATCCCAATTCCACTTTACTCCGTTTTTAGTAGATTGTTAAGTAGAGCTGTCAAATTATGTATATTATGTACATAAATTCAATAATAATTAGCCAGTCCTAAAAAAGCTTGTAACGTAGTTACATTTGTTGGTGCAGGCATATTTCTAATCGCATTTGCCCTCAATGGATCTGGTTTCTTACCATTTTTATCAATAATTTGTCCCAGGTATTTTATTTTTGGCAAAAACAATTCACATTTTTCTTCACAAAGCTTGAATCCGTAATCTCTTACTTTTTGCATAAGTGTTCTGTCATGCCGAACATGTTCTTTTTTTGACACACTCTTGATCAAAATATCGTCCAGATACGCCAATGTGAAATTGCAATCTGCCAGCATGGCTTGTTGAAAAATAGCTGCTGCCACCTTTTTATACCAAAAGGAAATCGATTAAGCTTATATAAACCTATATGTGTATTTATGGTCGTTAATTCAGAACATTGATTTTCAATCTGAATTTGTAAATATGCTTTTGAGAGATCCAACTTTTGAAAATATTTTTCCTCCTATCAACTTTAAAAAAAATTTCTTCTGGATTTGGTAATGAATAATTGTTTCAAGACAACTATTTAATCCAGTCAAGAAATCCATGCAATCACAAATTTTGTCATTTTTTTCTTTACGTACATCTATGATGCAGCCCATTTCGAATGGTTTATTTTCTGCAATACACCAATTCTTTCTAGTCTGTCCAATTCTTCATTTACTTGTTCTAATGCTGCAAATGGTACGTCCTGTTTTGGTTTACTGGTGTTGAAACTTTTTTTACTTGAGAAATTGCCTCAAATTTTGGACATTGACCCAGTTCATTAGACAAAACATTAGGAAAGCATTTTTTAATTCTTCCTTCAGTTTTTCGCTGTGACTTTTAAAATTTGTCACATGTTCACTTACATGTTTACAATAAGCATTTATTGGCAAATCACACAGTTTGAATAGTTTAACTAATCTATAAATGAATAGATTTACTGCATTTCTTAACATATAATCTTATGTTTTTTACATGCTTATTTCAAAAATAAACATCACATGTTAATTCTCCCACAAAATAATTTTTCACCAAAAACTAAAGTTGCGACTTTGTAAGACCTTTTTAATAAAGGTTTCCCGATTTCTTTCCATCTGGTTTCATTTTCTATTGAAATGTCACCTCCAGTATCTAGTAACATTTTTACTCCAACATTATTGATTTGCATATTAACAAATTTTTTTTCTTTCGTGTGACTGTTGTAATATTTTGTGTTAATTTCTTCTTGCAAAAATATTTCTTGGTTTAATTCTGCAGTATGATTAGATATGTCCTTTTTTTTAAGCTTTCTGCATTTTTCCATGGACAGTCTTTCCCAAGATGCAATTTTCCATATGTGAAACAAGGTTTTATATTCCTTTTTGCGCATTTTTCCTTAGCTTTTATCAATGCACATTTTTTATTCTGGAGTTTTTTAGAATCATGCTTCAGACTCAGCATTTTTTGGTAATTGTCCATTAATTCCTGGTGTTGTTACGTTTTTATTATTTTCAATCTTTGCTAAAATTTTCATTTGTACTTCAGTATCTTTTTCTGCCGTTAGACCTTGCACAAAATTTAATCCATTGAGCATATCCTGAGTCACATCCTTTAGTTTAATTTGTGATATGTCCCAGAAAGGGATATATTTGATCGAAGTAGCTAAGTGGTTTTGGTTACTGTAACCAAGTAGTAAACGGTAGCAGTAATCGACCAGTACTCGTCGTAGTCACAGGTAATATGCTTAGGCAATAGGTGTAGACCAATAGGATAGCCAATGGCGTAGTCCAATGGGCATCATCATAGACTTAAACTCTGCCATACCTACACATCCGTCTGTATTTATGACTGACACCAGCCAATCATATTCCATTGAGGGGGAATTCAGGTGTATACATATTCCATTATATCAATTTGTTCACATTTTTGACAGTATCTGCATAGATAACAAAAATTCATATTCTTTTTTGGTTAACTTCATGCACCTCTAATGAGCATGGAACAGAGCACACTTGTGACTAAAACTTTTTGTCAGAATGTGTACTGTGTCTTCAAACCCTATTTCACTTGGTTTTTTCGGTAAAATATAATTGCAGTATTTTTCATACGCTAGTGAGTAATTTTTCTTAACAGCAACCTGGTGTTTTATCTTCTTCCCAGCCACTGCATTTATGACTAAATATTTCATTATGTCTGCAAAAATATGCAGCAAAAGTCAATCTGTCATCAGGATTGTACACAAATTTGGATTCAGTGTTTCGCACTGTGTCTGGCATAAGAGACATTGAAGAATTTTTCTTCAAAACCACTTCCAACAACTCTTGTTGTTTTTGCAACTGTAGCAACTGTTGGGTATTTTATTGTTGTTGCTTCTGTTGTTGTTGTTGAATTTCAACTATTGAAGCTCAAATTTTCTCTATATCTGCAAGAAAATCTTTTTAAAACCAATGTGGGTGAAATTCTTGTAACTTCTGTTGCACATGTATGAGTTTTGAAAATCTGGTCAACCCACCTATTATAACTCCAGTTATAATGTTGTGATTTTTATCCTGCACTTTTGTTTGAGTATCCTCATTACCAACCTTTATAAATTCCTATTGTAAGGTTATAGTTCTAACACACACTCATACTTGGTATAATGTAATTCATTAAAGTATTCTCTATATGTAATGCTTAGGCTATTGCAATACACCTGTAAAGTTAATATGAAGACTGACTCCAATATGACAATCACTAACATCATGGATGAGTTTATAGTGTCACCGGGGGTGTACTCTTTGCTATACAATATATATATAAGGGCAAGTGTGTGTGTGAAGAAGATGATGAGACACAGTGGAAAAAAAGTCTCTAATATATGTATATGCATATGCATGAGTGGGTGTGTATGTATATGCATGTACAAGTATATACATAAAAAATCAAACACTCTCTACATTTAGTGGAATCATTTAAAATCCAAAAGATACCAAAGAGTTCTTATATGTATATATATATATATATATATATATATATTAACATAAAGAGAAAGAACAGTAAGATTTATAAGCCGGTGTTCTTATTAATCATTTTAAAAAAACAGTACTCGATACAATTCTGCAGAGCATAAATATTATAAATTTACTAATTTAAAAATATGGTTCCTTCAATACACAGAAATTACCATGTTTCAAAAACAGAAACTAAAATATTCAAATTTAATTATAGAATTATATTAAAATCCCTAATACTATTTCATTTTCAAGCAAATTTTTGAACATTCACTTGAAAATGAAACAGTACTAGGGATTTTAATTTAATTCTGTAATTAAATTTGAAGTTTTTAGTTTCTGTTTTTGAAACATGGTAATTTCTGCATAGTGAAGGAACCATATTTTTAAACTAGTAAATTTAAATTATATATATATATATATATATATATATATATATATATATAAAGCAAGCGCTCTCTTGCATCTGGTCATTGAATGTGATAGGGTAAACTAATTTAATTTATAATCCCCACTTATCCACAGAGATCCCAACTCAATTTTCCTCATATACAGATCTGTCTTTTATTTTAACCTGAGCAAGCCAGAGAGAGCAGACAGGTCTATATATATATATATATATATATATATATATATATATATATATATATATATATAAAACAAACAGGCTGACAGACGCTCTCTTGAGTCTAAACATTGTATATGATAAGGTAAACTAATTTAACTTGGTTTATGGTCCTCCACTTTTTAGCGATTTCAAATCATTTTTTTCCTCGCATACACATTTGTCTTTCTTTTATTCTAACCTGAGGAAGCCAGAGAAAGTATTAAAAGTAAACATTGATTGCATAACAAATTCATTGATTACAAATTAGAAAAGACAGAATATTTTTGGCATAAAAATTACTTATTGTTTCTTTATTATAAATCTAAAATCATAAAAATACTAACTTTTGCTTTTCTGAATAATTTGAAGCCCAAAATGTTGAGAATATTTTTTTTCAAACTTAATTAATAGATTAACCCCTTTCATGAAAGAAGTGCTTTCTGCTGTTAATTAAATGAGATTAAATTAATTTTGCTAAAATGATTCACAGGTAATGAAAATTTAAATCAAGGCAATTATTTTGTAGATTGACTGATAATTATTTGAGATCTGATTAACTGGGATCTTGGGGGCATAAATCCTTGAGAGTTTGCCTCTGACATAAAGTCTTCAAGGTATTATCAGTTAATTTGATACATTCCCCCAAAAATACATAAATGAATAAAATATGCTTGAAGACAAGGACAACAGGTGATAAAAGAACAGTCTTTTTCTACATAAAGTTTTCTGTCAATTTTTACTTTGTTACTTACCAACATCGTGAAATTGGAATATGACACATGTAGTTATTGATATTCCAATTATATATCTCATATATAAGTATACTGATCATTGATAATAGCCTTTAGAAATAGGTGCTTGCATTTTTTTAAAAAAATTCTTTAAAATTTTCTTTTTGTCTCTTTATTTCTTTGATACTCTCTCTTTTTTCTTTTTCATTTCCTTACTTTCATTTACAATCTTTTCTTGCTTTTCTTTCACTCCCTTATTTTCATTTATTCTTTCTTTTCTTTCATTCCCTTACTTTCACTTGCTCTTTTCTTTTTTCACCCCCTTACTTTCACTTGCTCTCTTTTCTTTCTTTTCCCCCTTACTTTCTCTTTTCCTCTCTTTTCTTTTTCACACCCCTTTCTTTCTTTCTCTCTTTTTCTTTCTTTTTTCACCCCCTTACTTTCACTTGCTCTCTTTTCTTTCTTTTTCTTTTTACTTTCACTTGCTCTCTTTTCTTTTCTTTTCACCCCCTTACTTTCACTTGCTCTCTTTTCTTTCTTTTTTCACCCCCTTACTTTCACTTGCTCTCTTTTTTTTTTTTTTTTCCTTGCTCTCTTTTCTTTTTTTTTTTTCATTTCCTTACTTTCCTTGCTCTTTTTTTTTTCACCCCTTTCACTTGCTCTCTTTTCTTTCTTTTTTCACCCCCTTACTTTCACTTGCTCTCTTTTCTTTCTTTTTTCACCCCCTTACTTTCACTTGCTCTCTTTTCTTTCTTTTTTTCACCCCCTTACTTTCACTTGCTCTCTTTCTTTTTTTTTCACCCTTGCTTTCACTTGTTCTCTTTTCTTTCTTTTTTCACCCCCTTACTTTCACTTGCTCTCTTTTCTTTCTTTTTTCACCCCCTTACTTTCACTTCTTGCTCTCTTTTCTTTCTTTTTTCATCTACTTCCTTTCACTTGCTCTCTTTTCTTTCTTTTTTTCACTCCCTTATTTTCATTTACTCTCTTTTCTTTCTTGTTTTCAATCCCTTACTTTCATTTTTGCTCTCTTTCTTTTTTCACCCCCTTACTTTCACTTGCTCTCTTTTCTTTCTTTTTTCATCCCCTTCCTTTCACTTGCTCTTTTTTATTTATACCATTTACTCTTTCAGTTTTTCTATATTTTCACTTCCTCTTTTTTTCTTCTTTTGATTTTTACACCCCTTCCTTTCACACCTCTTGTCTTTCTTTTTGCTTACTCTTTCCTTTATTTTACACCCATTTCTTTCACTTCTTTTATTTCTCATTTTTTATACTCTTTCCTTTCTCCTCATCTCTATCAGTTTTCTATTAATCACCCCCTTTTTTTCATTTATATTTTACTTTATTTATTTAATTTATTTCTTCTGTTTTTTCTCTGTTGTTTCCTTTTTCAATACTTTCCCTCTTTCTTTATTTTCTTCTCTTTTATTTTTCATATCCTTTTATCTCTTTCTGCTTTTCTTTTGGCATCAGTTCTTCTGCATCTTTCTTTTCTTCTCTCTTTTTTTTTCTTTTCCCTCTCTTCACTTTTCTTTTCTCTCTCTTGTTCCTCCCCTTTTCTTTTGCCTTCGTTTGTCTTTTTCTTTTCTTTCTTCTCTTCTATTTCTTACCTCTCTCTCTTATACTTTTCTTTTCTCTCTTGTTCCTCCCTTTTTCTTTTGCTCTCTTTTGTCTTTTTCTTTTCCCTCCCTCCCTCTAATTCATTTCATTTTCTCTCTTCTCTTCTCTTTCTTACCTCTCTCTCTTCACTTTTCTTTTCTCTCTCTTGTTCCTCCCTTTTTCTTTTGCCCTCTTTTCTTTTCTCTCACTTGCATTCTTCTCTTTTTCTTTTCTCTCTTTCATTTTTTCTTTTCTTTCTTTCACTTTTCCTTTTCTTCTTTTCTCTCTCTGCTGTATCCATCCTTTTCTTATTTTCTTTCTTCAATCCTACTCTTCTTTTCACTTTCTTTCATCGTCTTGACTCCTCCTTCTTTCTTACTGTATATAGCCCTCTCTCTCTTTCTATTTACCCTTCCTTTTTCTCTTAACACACACTCTCTCTTTCCCTTTTATGATATTTCACTTTATCTCTCTCTCATTTTCCAATTTCTCTGTTTTAAGCCTTCAGGGTGTTCTCTAACTCCTTAATTTTTTCTGAAATTAATTTTGTCATTTTAATTAATTTAACTAATTAGTTAATTTGATTACTTGAAATTTTACTCATACTTACATTCCATTATCAAAAATTATATATATATATATATATATATATATATATATATATATACACTGAATGCTATACTGAATGTAATTTTATATTCAGATATGATTGTGCAGTAGATATGCTTATGTGTGCATGTATGCATTTTCCAATTTTATCTTTCTCATATATATATATATATCATAATTTTTTCATATAGATGAAAACAATTTACTCACTACAATGATGCAACCTTGATTTGGTGCATTTAGTTGCACTTCGACTGGTGAGAACCAAAAATGTTAGAATTTATATGTTATTTTCATTCTCATTACATTTGTGTATATATATATATATATATATATATATATATATTTGTGTGTGTGTATTTATTTATTTACAAGGTACTACCCAAATGTTCAAGAAATTTGACTTATATAAATGAAGTGAACATGTAGGAACATGTAGGAACTTTCCTGTTACATGTTGTGCAGCTGTAATTCCACAAAGCACATCATCATGCACATTTTTCATTACATCTTTTTTACATTTTTCAGTTGGTACTTCTAAATCTCCATTACATACAACACTATTTTCTACAGTCAACTTATGTCTAATTGCTTTGTATGCCCTTTCAGCTTTTCAACATTTATTCCATTTATTAGTGTTGTGACTAAATGAATTGTCACGGAATAATAAAAGAAGTATTTGCAGATTAGTAGCATTATAACAAAAGAGTAGTACTCGACTTGAGAGTGTGAGATGGTACACTCTTTTTTTTTCATCCTGGTGACCGCTACAATCAGTCTTATACCTAGTGGAAGAGTCCCCCACCGACTCATTGTAGGTATTACACCACAACAATTAGTTTTTATTTAAGATACAATTTTACTTCATATTGGATCCTGCAATGTTTCTGAGGCAAATTGATTTATTGGTGTCTTTTTGTCACCTTTTAAAATGTAATCTGAATAATGCATCTACATGGAAAATAACATTTCCTTTTACATATTTGATAACAAAATCAAAAGCTATTAGTTTTATGGCCCATCTTAATATTCTAGAAGATGTAACTTTTGGTAATTCCTTCCTTGGGTTAAAAAATAATTCTAAAGAATTATTGTAAGACTTAAAGAAGAATTTTCTTCCCAATATATAATTTGACAAGCTCTACTATTGCTCCAAACTATAGCTAGAAACTCTTATTCTATATCTGAGTAATTTGATTCAGCTGATGTTGATATTCTAGAACGATACATAACTGGATCTCCTTCCAGAGCTAAGATTGTTGATACAGAATTTTTACTAGCATCTGTAGTTAATGTAATATCCTTTTGGGGTTTAAAAAATCTTGATAATGGGTTTTTTTGCAAAAGCGTTTTTCAAATTATCAGATGCTGTTTGTGCATATCCTTTTCTTTTTATGTGCCATGTCCCTTCAGGATGTAGACGATCGCAGCTCTCCACTTCCCCCTATCCTTTGTAGCTCTCAATAAGTTTCGTCCCTATGCCACCTCCCCCAGACTATGTTCTGTCATCCACTTGTTTAATCCTGCCAGATATGTCATGCATTGCTTTCTCTTGTCTCTCTTTCCCTCTATTCGATCTGTGAGTATCAGATTCTCCAAGCCCACCTTTCTCATTACGTGTCCCAGGAACTTCAGCTGCCTCTTCCTCATGTTCTCAAATGAAGAGAGTAACAACTTTTGGAAAGCATGAAGCACAACTTCTTTCTTTTAATGTGCCATGTTCCTTCAGGACGTGATCATGGCTCTCCACTTCCCCCTATCCCTTGTAGCTTTCAATAAGTTTTGTCTCCACTTCATTAAGCCGGCTAGGTATGTCATGTGTTGCTTTCCCTTGTCTCTTTTCCTCTCTATTCGACTTGTGAATATCAGATTCTCCAAGCCCTCCTTTCTCATTACACTTCCCAGAAATTTCAGCTGCCTCTTCCTGATGTTAAATATAATTGCTAAGTCCTTGTGTTCTCAAATGAAGACAGTAACAACTTTCAGAAAGCATGAAGCACAACTTCTTTCTTTTAATGTGCCATGTCCCTTCAGGATATAGGCGATCATGGCTCTCCACTTCCCCCATATCCCTTGTAGGTCTCAATAAGTTTTGTCTCTTTGCTACTTCACCCAGACCACGTTCTGTCATCCACTTGCTTAATCCCACCAGGTATGTTATGCATTGCTTTCCCATGTCTCTCTTTCTCTCTATTCGACCCATGAGTATCAGATTCTCCAAGGCCTCTTTTCTCATTACGTCCCCGAAATTTCACCTGCCTCTTCCTGATGTTAAGTATAAGCTTCCTCCTTGTTTGCATCCTCTACAAAACCTCATCATCATGTGCTCAGTTCATGATATCCTTAGCATCCATCTGTAGGACCATATCTCCATTGCCTTGAGTCTCTTCTTCATCTTTGAGGAGATTGTCCAACATCTACTGCCATAAAGTACTCTTTACTTTGTTAATGAAATCCTCCTGTGTCACAATACTTTGCCCAGCATTTGGAATGTGTCCTTGGCTTTCCCAATACATCTTCAAATTCATTGTCCTTTTTACCCAACTTGGCAAATACTTCAATTAGTTCTGAATATTTGGGGGTAATTATTTATTATAAAATTTTAGCGAACACCAAAAGGTTTCTAATTCTTTTTTATTGGTAGGCGGACACAACTGTAATATTTTCTGTCTCAAACTTGGGTCTGAAAAAATTCCATCTTTTCAAATTTGCTACCGAAGATATAATATTTTATCACAATTAAATACACATTAATATTCATTCCAGATACCCTTAGTCAATTTAGTACCTAGTTGGGTCTTTGTTTCAACTCTTCTTTATTGGTTTCATCCAAACATATATTGTCTTAGTATATTATCATATTTTTTATGTCAACCTTTTTAAACATTTTTTATTGCTTTCTGAGAGATGGCACTTGCTGTTTTCACTCCACAAGACATACGAGTCCATCTAAGCAGTCCAATTGGGGAGTTAACAATGGTGATTGGATTGATTTGGTTTGTTTTACGGCATATCAATCTCAATGGATTATTTAATGCCGGCAACATTTTTTTCAAGGTAATATTTTTGTTTCATCAAAAATCTATTTCTGGTAATATTTTTTTCCTCAAAAATGCATAGCTGGTAATATTATTTTAAAAAAATGTATTGCTGGTAATATTTTTTTTTTCAAAAACGTATTGCTGGTAATAGTCTTTTTTTCTTCAAAAATTTATTTCTGGTAATAATTTTTTACAAAGTATTTCTAGTATTAAAACCTATTTTTACACTTTCATAATGCTTTTTAACCCAGTTTTGGGGTTAACTATTTGCCCATAGCTGGGAGCATAACAGGTGCTACCACCCTGGGTCAGGGTGGACCTGGGAACACCAGCAATTAAGAGGTGGTTCCATGCTCCTCAAAACATCCTGATTAGAGGCCTTGCTGTTGGATGTAGTTTATCGTCATACCCAAGATGCTTAAGAGTGGTGAGTTCTTTAAAATTTATCATCAATTTGAATTTGATTGTATGTGCTTTTTAGATCAATTTGTAATGCAGTAGATTTCCAAGGTTTGGGATAGGCGAAGAATTCAAACAAATCTTATGGTTTCTGCCTATTTCATAGTCAGCACAGATTCTAAGACCACTATTTGGTTTTCTCAGAACTACTACAGGTGATGCACATTACCTCTACCTGAGGGAAGATATCCCCAAATATCTTGTTCACCATTTTACATAGTTTCACAACTTCAAGGAGTAACAAGTGAATTGGAAGTCTGAAAAATTCAGAATATGAGGGGGTTACAATTTTCTTTCAATATGATACTTGCTTTATAATCTTTTAACATTCCATTTTCAGGATTAACTGAATTTCTAGCATGAATTAGATATGTGCTATTAATCTTAAGCACATCTGTTCCTATTAAGCCATGGTTTTTATTACAGTTCACAACTACAATAGTAATAATTTTGATCCTGGAGTTGATTTCAAATGTTCCTTCAAAGTATCCGAACGTCTTTATGCATGAGCCATCAAAGTGTCTTGATTTTAAATAACTTTTATGTAGTTTCAGTTTACTCATTTGTTCTGAAAAGTTCTTCAGAATTAGTATTATATCGCGGCTGGTATCAATTTGCATTTTTAAATTTACCCTATTCAATTTCATTTCCCTGATGATATTTTGTTTCTTATTCTTCTTTATTGAGAAAATATCCATTTCACTTTTTAAAGTGGCTTCCATTTTACTTTTTTTAATTTACACACCGATTGAAAATGATTTTCCTTTTTCAATTTTTGCATATCTGTCCACATGCCAGACATTCTTCTCAGTTTGGTTCATAGTTACACGATTTGCATTTTAGTGTTGGTTACTTTATTATGTTTGGTGTCCATAATTTTGGGTCAGACTTTTCCTTATTGTATTTTTCAATCAACCAATCAACTCTTCCTGTCGTATAATTTTGATGCATGCCCCTAACGGCATTTGGTTTTATTACAAATGTGATGAAAAACATGACTTACCTCAGAATTCGAAACGAGCGTGAACATGTCTTGCCTGCAAAGTGATGACAAAAAGAAATATGGCCGCTATTGAAGATGCAATTTATGTGTCCAAAACGAGACAATATTTGCACACATACAAATTTTGTCCATATTAGAATAGCATAAAAAGTGGTGTGCCAGCAGCACAACCGAATCGGGAGTCATCTGGCAGACTGCAGGCAATAGAGCTGGACATACAAATTGACAGACGGACAAAAAGGAAGTTGAAGTAGGTGCGACTGAATAGGTGTCTGTTTCACAACTGCCCAGTGTAACAGCTGAGAAAGAGTATCACGCAATCCATTTCCTTGAGGTGACCGAAGAAGAAGAAGAAAAAACAGCTGGCCTGCTGGCGAGAACTGCACTTTTTCACCCCCCCCCCACCATCATCACTA